TCATTCTATCGAGTATCCAATTTTTTATTTTTTTTGATCCGGGACATGTAACCTCAAAAGAATTTGGTCAAACTAGTGCACCTGATTCGATAGTATCCTATTTTTAGAACGTCTAGTGCCATAATTCACTGAATAGGTAAATTGTCAAATCCCTAGAACTAAAGCCTATTCTATTGTTCGCTTTGACCCATTATTGTCGTCAGCTTCACGATTTTAAAACGTATCTATTAGGAAGAAGTTTCTACAGTCTCACGAGAAATGTTTCATCCTCCTCTCCAACTGATATGAGATCTCACAATCCACCCATTAGAAACCCAACATCCTTATTGGCACATAGCTCGATGTCTGACTCTAATACCATTTGTAACAGTCCAAGTCCACCGTTAGCAAATATTGTCTGGTTTAACCTTTTACGTATAACCATCAACCACACAGTTTTAAAATGCTTCTATTGGGAAGATGTTTCTATCATTTGAATGCTTTATTCTTCTCTCCAACTGATGTGAGATCTCACAATATAGTTTTCACTCGTACTTCAACAAAAACATTCTTAAATTCTCTCTCTATATTTTGATGTCTTAGGTCGATGCTACATAGTTCGTTTTTTTCGACGAATTTGAATAGGATCCACGCGAGAATAAATAATAATAATAGTTGTTATTATTATTAATAAATGTGAAATTTCAATTTGAGTTGAAAAATAAAATAAAATAAAAAATGAATGTGAGTGAGTCATGGGAAGCACATTCTTATCAACAAGAGCCATATGTCAAGAGGTCCCTCCTTATCCACATCGCTGTTTGGCCAACACAATTATTATTTTAATTAATTTTTTTAATGTCATTTTAGAAATAATAATAATAAAAAAAAACTAATATTAGTTATAAAAAAAATAAAAATAATAACTTGTCGTAATAGCCTTTATTAGATGAGTTGAATATTATAGTTCGTCGTCTAATGATAAAATGTCCGGTGCGACGTAGATAAGTATTTTGTTATTAGATCAATATTATTTAATTTGTATCATTATAGAAATGTTCATATAACTCGATAACCTGATCAACTCGATCCAACCTGAATTATAAAAGGTTATATTTTTTGATTTGGATTGAGTTGAATTTTTTTATAATCAAAATTCAATATGGTTTGCGGGTTGACATTTTTATGGTCGGGTCAACCTGACTAACCCTACTTTACTCTAAAAATATTTGAATTTATTCCAATAATTTAAGGAAAAAAAAAAAAAAAGAGTCCCACACCACATGAAATTCAATCATTTTCCATTTTGAAGACATAATTTACATATTTATTAATTAAATTGACAAAAAGGAAAATCTCCCTTTACTTTTGGGAAACAAAATTTAGTGAGATAAAAGAAAAGATGTGATAAATCAGCTTTATGAAAAATATGACCAAAATGGTGATATAATAGTGAGAAGGTGAGTACAAAAATTTAAATGATTGATAAGTTTGAAAAAATTAATATTAAATTATGTTTTGGATTAAAAATAAAAAATAAAAAAAAAATACTAAAATATTTTTATTTTTTAATTTTTGAAAACTAACCTACTCGACCTTTTGGACGACTACATTAAAACTTAGACATGCTACATGAACACGATCTGAAATTTAAGTTAACATTTCACATAATCTTTTCTAATAGCGTAAAAGCAAGAATCTTAAGAGATAAGATTTGATATTCAATCAACAAACCTGAATGCAAAGTTGAGTGTCAATCTAAATTCATCGAAGCATTGAGGTTCAGATATTATTGAAATTAAAAAAAAAAGAAAAGAAAAATTATTATAATAACCCAAAAGAGGGAAAAAAAGCGAAGGTTGCTATCTTTAAAAGATAATCTATTTGCTTTGGTAGCACAGGAGAAGCTCTGTTGGTGGTGCTTCCATGGCGGCCCCATTTTGGAGAAGCGAAAGAGAGGGAGAGCATCTGAAAGAAGCATTATTAATGCAAAAACAAAGCAAAGGGGATGGCAATCAGAATGATCCATCATCTACCCATCACCCCATTTACTTCACACCCACTGAAAAATCAGTGAAGAAGCCGACAATTCAACCACATAATTCCAATCATCCCATGTGGGTTTCGCCTATTTCCCCTCTATATCGCTCTATCTTCTTCTTCCCCCTCTCCTCTTATTCTTCCCCCCTTTCTTTTCATCTGTCACTTTCCGATGTGGGAATCCGAGAATCATTCTGTTGGTTTTGGTGCTGGAGATTACGGCAATGGCGTCCCCCCTTCCGCCAAACACGCCCTCAACACTCACGGCTTCGACCTCAGAGGCAACTCATGGTACGGTTTCTTCTTCTTCTTCTTCTGAACCTTTTGTGGCTGCCATTTTCTCTGAATTTGTTTGATTGTGTTCTGTTGTGGCTGTATTCCTCCACCCTCTATGTGTTCTTGCAGGCATGTTGCTACTGATATCCCTAGTGACCTTTTAGTAAAAGTTGAGGGTGTGAATTTCCATTTGCACAAGGTGTTGTATAATCAATCTCCTCTGTTTTGAGAGATGCCTTTGAACTATGAATAGGGTTTTTTCTTAATGGGGTTCCTCTGTTTTTTTGGGTGTATGAAGTATCCTCTTCTTTCTAGAAGTGGGAAGATGAACAGATGCATATATGAATCCAGAGGCCCAGATTTGAATAATAAGCTTGTTTTTGATGATCTTCCTGGTGGGTCTGAGGCTTTTGAACTTGCAGCCAAGTTTTGTTATGGAATAGCGGTTGATTTAACAGCAGCTAATATCTCTGGCCTTAGATGTGCTGCTGAGTATCTTGAAATGACTGAGGATTTGGAGGAAGGCAATTTGATATTCAAAACTGAAGCGTTTTTGAGCTATGTGGTACTGTCTTCATGGAGGGATTCCATAGTTGTGTTGAAAAGCTGTGAGAAGCTCTCGCCGTGGGCGGAGAATCTACAAATCGTTCGACGATGCAGCGAGTCGATTGCTTGGAAAGCTTGTGCGAATCCGAAAGGAATTAGATGGGCATACACTGGGAAACCCACCAAAGTTTGTAGTCCCAAATGGAATGATTTGAAGGATTCAAGTCCTAGTAGGAATCATCAGCTTGTTCCTCCTGATTGGTGGTTTGAGGATGTTTCAATCCTTAGAATTGATCACTTTGTTAGAGTAATTACAGCAATCAAAGTGAAGGGTATGAGGTTTGAACTGATTGGATCATCAATTATGCATTATTCTTCGAAATGGCTTCCCGGTTCGGTAACTGATACGACGAACGCCAGTGATGAAGGGAGTTCCAGTGCGACGAGTCACTCAAGCGGTGGCAGCAACAGTTGGAGAGGTGGGCTGCATATGATTGTGGCTGGCAACAAAGAAGATCGCTTGACGATTCAGGCGAAAGATCAACGAATGATCATCGAGAGCTTGATCAGCATCATTCCTCCACAGAAAGATTGTGTCTCATGCAGCTTCCTGCTAAAGCTGCTGAGAATGGCAAACATGTTGGAAGTTTCGCCGGCATTGGTCACTGAGTTGGAGAAAAGAGTTGGAATGCAGTTTGAGCAAGCCACACTTGTGGATCTTTTGATCCCATCTTACAGCAAGAGCGATACAACGTATGATGTTGATCTTATTCAGAGGCTGCTGGAGCATTTTCTTGTTCAGGAACAGATCGAGATTTCGAGTCCAGGCCGACAATCGTTTGCCGATAAACATATGTATGATGGATCTCAAAGGGGTGTGATCCCAAATGCCAAGATGAGGGTGGCAAGGCTTGTTGATAGTTACCTAACAGAGGTGGCCAGAGACAGAAACCTTTCCTTGACAAAATTTCAAGTACTGGCTGAAGCTCTGCCTGAATCTGCTCGAACATGCGACGACGGGCTTTACCGAGCTATTGATTCATATCTTAAGGTAAGAAACTTACAAAGTTGTTGCATAATCTTTCATCAAGAACTGAAGCTGCAGTCATTTAAGATACAAGAATTCCCACATTAAGTGTTTTCTAAGTGAACTGGTGGTGATGACAGGCGCACCCTACGCTCACTGAGCACGAGAGGAAGCGGCTATGCCGAGTAATGGATTGCCAGAAGCTCTCCATTGATGCCTGTATGCACGCAGCACAAAACGAAAGGCTTCCGTTACGTGTGGTGGTTCAGGTCCTCTTCTCCGAGCAAGTAAAGATAAGCAATGCAGTTTCGAACTCGTCGCTTAAAGAAGCAAGCGACTCGCAATTCCAACCGTCTGTAACGAACCGAAAAACACTCCTGGAAGCCACACCACAGTCATTCCAAGAAGGGTGGGCAGCGGCGAAGAAGGACATTAACACACTGAAATTTGAGCTTGAGACTGTGAAGAACAAGTACGTTGAGCTTCAAACTGAAATGGAGAGGTTGCAGAGGCAGTTTGAGAAGGTGAACAACAGGCAGAAGCAGAGCTCTGGTTGGAGCAGTGGGTGGAAGAAACTGAGCAAACTCACTACTAAGATGTCAACTTTGGAAACCACAGAAAATGAATCCCACCATCCAACCATTGAAGAACACACTAAAATAGTACACAGAAGATGGAGAAATTCAATATCATGACATATAAACATCAGGTAAGAGAAGAACAGAACAGTTTCCCACATTTGTTATTGTTTCTTTTCACTTCGAGTGAGTTTTGTGCCATTGTTTCAAGTCCACTAAAGGCTTCTGTTCTAGACATGTCTGTTTGAGACATATGACCTAATGTGTGGATAGATGAAGGAAACATTCCTACGTCTTTTTGGTGTTGAAACAAGCGGAATGTGGGAATTTGACCTCTTAATTGAGGCCATACGCTTTAACCCGTTGAGTCGTGCTATAAATTCTTTTGTTGGAGTCTCGGTTTACAGATTTCGAATGGTGCTAATGTTTCTCATCTTTGGCTTAAAGCCCAAAAATACATTTTTTCCATTGAGTTTCAGGGCATTTGGAAGCTTGATGACATGTGTTGTAAAGAACAAAACAGAACAAGAGAGAACAAGAAGCACATCGCTGAGCTATGCGAGTTTGTGGCATACAGACAAGAAGTACTTTACTCTCCAAGCCTTACTGAGTAACAATGGACCCCAAATCCCCCAAAACCCAAACACAAACCCAATTCCCATGCTCAGATAAAACCACCCATCAATAATACTTCCTCCCTCACTTTCTTTTCCATTTTCATTCCCAAATTTTGGGGTGACACCCTCCATTCCGCAGCTCTTGTTTAATGGATCTCCACACAGCTCATTGCCAATAAAGCTAAACGGAGTAAACCTTTGGAGCTGAGTACCTGTCGGAATTGGACCCGACAAGTTATTGTAAGACAAATTCAAGTAACTTAGGAACGATAACTCCGACATGGACGGTGGTATTCGTCCCCAGAGTTGGTTCCTTGAGAGATCAAGAGACTCCAAATCCTTCATGCCTCCGATTCTGTCTGGGATGGTTCCTCTTAGATGGTTTATTGAGAGATTGAGAGACCTCAGTGCAAAGAGGTTGGTGATTTCTTCAGGGATTTCTCCGGATAAGTTGTTGTTAGAGAGGTCGATGCTAGTCATGAGTGCCAAGATGGTATCATAATAGAGCTCGCTTCCTTTAGTTCTCACATATGCATTCTCGAGAATCGCGATAGCGTAGCCTTTGTTAAAGATAAAATGAAAACGTTGTGATAGGTCCCTCTTGGTAGCCATGGACGTAAAATTGCCAAAACAATGAGGTATAGACCCACTTAAGTTGTTATTGCTGATGTCCATGATTTGAAGATATGAAAGATGACAAAGTTCCTTCGGGATTAGGCCACTTATCTCATTGTTCCCAAGGTTGAGAGTCATTAGTTTCAATAGGCTCATCCCAATCCATGCTGGTATTTTTCCATGGAAGGCATTTAGACTGAGATCTAAAGCTCTCAACTCCAAGCAACTCTGAAGAGCCCGAGGAATCACTCCGGAAAGGCTGTTGTTTCGTAAATGCAACGATACTAATATGGTTAGAGACCCCATGGAGGTTGGTATCATGCCAGACAAATTATTGTTGTCCAAGCTTAGAACTTGTAGTGATTCCCAATTCTCCCAGCAGTTTGGAATGTTTCCTGATAAAAAATTGTTACCAAGATGAAGAACAGAGATCCCTAAGAACTGAGAACGACATAGGAAATGGGTAATGTTTCCAGAGAAGAAATTGTTTGAAAGATCAAGCTGAGCAGGGGAGGATACTAAACGAGGCAATGAACCATGGAAAAGATTGGAGCGAAGGTCCATGATTGAGATATTACCCGTGAAAAGAATATGAGGAAGTGTTCCATAGAGTTGGTTGTGAGAGAGATTCAGGTAAATACACTGTGAAGACCAACTCCAAAACCAATCTGGAACGGTGTCTGAAAGTTTAGCATTAGAGAGATCAACCCAACTTAACTTTTTTTGGGATTTGAGCCATTTGGGGAATTGGGGTCCTACGATGCAAGATCTCAGCCTTATTTCGTAAAGATTAAAAGGGGGAATCCATTCTGTTGCAAAATTCAATGTGAAATTATTATCATCCATTTCCAAAATCTTTAGATTTGCTAGATTTGCAAAGTGATCCTCCAATACATTGCCTTCCAAGTGATTATCAGATATTCTAAGTACTTGCANTAATGTTTCTCATCTTTGGCTTAAAGCCCAAAAATACATTTTTTCCATTGAGTTTCAGGGCATTTGGAAGCTTGATGACATGTGTTGTAAAGAACAAAACAGAACAAGAGAGAACAAGAAGCACATCGCTGAGCTATGCGAGTTTGTGGCATACAGACAAGAAGTACTTTACTCTCCAAGCCTTACTGAGTAACAATGGACCCCAAATCCCCCAAAACCCAAACACAAACCCAATTCCCATGCTCAGATAAAACCACCCATCAATAATACTTCCTCCCTCACTTTCTTTTCCATTTTCATTCCCAAATTTTGGGGTGACACCCTCCATTCCGCAGCTCTTGTTTAATGGATCTCCACACAGCTCATTGCCAATAAAGCTAAACGGAGTAAACCTTTGGAGCTGAGTACCTGTCGGAATTGGACCCGACAAGTTATTGTAAGACAAATTCAAGTAACTTAGGAACGATAACTCCGACATGGACGGTGGTATTCGTCCCCAGAGTTGGTTCCTTGAGAGATCAAGAGACTCCAAATCCTTCATGCCTCCGATTCTGTCTGGGATGGTTCCTCTTAGATGGTTTATTGAGAGATTGAGAGACCTCAGTGCAAAGAGGTTGGTGATTTCTTCAGGGATTTCTCCGGATAAGTTGTTGTTAGAGAGGTCGATGCTAGTCATGAGTGCCAAGATGGTATCATAATAGAGCTCGCTTCCTTTAGTTCTCACATATGCATTCTCGAGAATCGCGATAGCGTAGCCTTTGTTAAAGATAAAATGAAAACGTTGTGATAGGTCCCTCTTGGTAGCCATGGACGTAAAATTGCCAAAACAATGAGGTATAGACCCACTTAAGTTGTTATTGCTGATGTCCATGATTTGAAGATATGAAAGATGACAAAGTTCCTTCGGGATTAGGCCACTTATCTCATTGTTCCCAAGGTTGAGAGTCATTAGTTTCAATAGGCTCATCCCAATCCATGCTGGTATTTTTCCATGGAAGGCATTTAGACTGAGATCTAAAGCTCTCAACTCCAAGCAACTCTGAAGAGCCCGAGGAATCACTCCGGAAAGGCTGTTGTTTCGTAAATGCAACGATACTAATATGGTTAGAGACCCCATGGAGGTTGGTATCATGCCAGACAAATTATTGTTGTCCAAGCTTAGAACTTGTAGTGATTCCCAATTCTCCCAGCAGTTTGGAATGTTTCCTGATAAAAAATTGTTACCAAGATGAAGAACAGAGATCCCTAAGAACTGAGAACGACATAGGAAATGGGTAATGTTTCCAGAGAAGAAATTGTTTGAAAGATCAAGCTGAGCAGGGGAGGATACTAAACGAGGCAATGAACCATGGAAAAGATTGGAGCGAAGGTCCATGATTGAGATATTACCCGTGAAAAGAATATGAGGAAGTGTTCCATAGAGTTGGTTGTGAGAGAGATTCAGGTAAATACACTGTGAAGACCAACTCCAAAACCAATCTGGAACGGTGTCTGAAAGTTTAGCATTAGAGAGATCAACCCAACTTAACTTTTTTTGGGATTTGAGCCATTTGGGGAATTGGGGTCCTACGATGCAAGATCTCAGCCTTATTTCGTAAAGATTAAAAGGGGGAATCCATTCTGTTGCAAAATTCAATGTGAAATTATTATCATCCATTTCCAAAATCTTTAGATTTGCTAGATTTGCAAAGTGATCCTCCAATACATTGCCTTCCAAGTGATTATCAGATATTCTAAGTACTTGCAAACTTGATAGCAATCCCATACTCTTTGGAAGAGTTCCGCTTATTTTATTGTATTGAATGTATAGCATTGTTAATGAAGATAAATTTCCTATGGACTCTGGAATAGGACCAGTGATCGAGTTTATAGAAAGGTCAATGAACGACAAATTTCTTAGTTTTACAATTTTATCCGTCAAATGACTTGAAATTTTATTATACGACAAATCCAATGAAATCAAACTATCCATGAGACAACCAGAGAAGCTCTCAAAGATTTCTGATATATTTTCAGCAAGTTTATTGCCGGAAAGATTGATTTTTTCCAAATTGCAAAGGTTTCCTATCAATCTTGGTATTCTTCCATCCAGCTCATTGTTGGAAAGGTCGATCGAAACAAGATTTGTTAGGTTGGCAATATTATTTGAGATTCCCCCATTTAAGCCAAGATTACGAAGGGTCAAATGTTGAAGATTGTGGAGAGTGTAGAGACAACTGGGTATGGTTGAAGAATTGAAACCTGAGCTTGTTAGGTGAAGATATGAAAGGGCTGACATGTTTTGAAGAGCACACGGAATTGGACCTTGAAAATGATTATAACTTAGATCAAGTGAAACAAGACTACTGAGATTTGATATCCATTTGGGTAGGAAAGACTTGAAGTTGTTCCACGAAATGTCAAGAACTGAGAGAGAAGTGAAATTGACGTGATCTAGAGGAGCAAACTGAACAAGTTTACAACTCAATAAATGTAATTCTTTAAGCGAAGGAAGCTTATTCATGTCTAGTAACCAAGAAGATGCGTTGCTAAGGTCTGCATAGCTCAAATCTAGCTTCAATAGAGAAGGCAAACCATGAAGTCATCCAAGATTTTCAGTATATAGAGATGGGTAGTTACCTCCCAAATCGAGATGGTTCAAGTTTGATAGATTTCCGAGTTCATGAGGTATCAATCCACCAAAGCTTGAGTATGAGAGGTCAAGATAACGCAAACTCACCATTGATCCTAAAAAACTTGGAATTCGTACTCCTTCAAAATCATTGTTACTAAGATCAAAGTGAGTTAAGTGCTTCAAATTCAAGATAGAGTCGCTTACCTTTCCCTTTAATTGGTAAGCTTCCAAGAATTCATTATTTGCAAGTTTGAGCTCTTTGACATACCCGGTCGAGTTGTCACAACTGATGCCAACCCATTTGCAGCAATCTTGTTTAACATCCCACGACGAGAGACGATTCAAAGGATCTACAAGCCCTTTCTTGAATCTCAAAAGGGCCTCTCTCTCACTCTCAATGCAAAGAACTTCCGATGGATTTCCAGAGCCGCTGCAAATGTTCATCCCAAAGAAGAGCATTAGAAACAAAAGAAAATTTTCAGCCATCGCACAATCAAGCATGTTCGTTTTGAAGTATGCTCTGTTAAACAAACTGAAGTATAGATTTTATATACACTTCGCAAAACCTAATCTGGACGATTCATAGCTCTGATTCCGACAGGAAAAATAACTTTCAATGAGTGTAAAACGTGGAGAGAAAAAGCATATGAACTGATTAATAAAGTACCTTTGCTTAATCGTGTTTCTCGTTCTTCTCTTGTCCTTTCTCTGAAATAGTGATAGCATATTTGTGCAATTCTTCTTCTTTTTGTACCGTTGACCTGCAATGCCCAAAAACATTAAATAATTTCTTCCCCGCTAGATTTTTCTTTGCGACCTTGATTTTGAATATTTTAACCTAACTTTTATTTTATTTTGTTGGCCCATTATTTTAACTATGAAGGGATCGATCTTCAATAAGTTTGGGCGAAAACCGAGAAATTTGCGTCGAGTTTTCACATAATTTTTCTTAAAATAATTATTTTAAAGTTTTTATGTTTTAATATAATTTTTATTAAACAACTTGGTTACATGTTCTCTCAACATAATTTCTCGAGCCTAATTTATTTAATTCTATGTATAATTTTCGAGTTCTATTTAGACCGACAAATTTAAGAAAAATTAAATTATCAAAAAGCTTTTTAAAAAATATTTAACATTAAGATGTTCCATATAAAAATTTTAGGTCTATTTTCCCATACACCCATTTTTCCTCTTCTTTAAGTAAAAAAATATGGATAAAATTCCACGGTTGATATTCAACCAATATTGTCATCTTTTAGACGGTTACTTTCAAGTTTTCCCTCAAGATTTTTAAAACGCGTCTAATAAGAAGAGATTTCTACATATTAAAAAATGTTTGGTTCGAAAAGCAATTAGAGTGAACCATGTAATTACAAAATCTGGTGCGTACGCTTTAGTTTACACGGCAAGTTTATCAAACCAAAAAGGGAGACCAATGCATATCATGTTAGATTCATTGAATTACCATGACTTTGACGAACCCACAACCAAAGTAAAAGTGAAAAATGAATCTTCACTTTAATTATATTTTCCTTTGTTTGACGAAAAGCACTTCCACACATGATCTTAACATGCACCTGATTTAAAAGAATGAGATGGAGCAACAGAAGAGAGGGGACCGAATAATATGTATGTTCATTTAGTTAAAATAAATAAATTTTATGTAGATAAAAATAAATACTAATATAAATTATTAAATAATTTATTATAGCATATAATTAAAATTAAAGATGCTTTAATAAAAATTATATCAAAGTGTTCACACACACATATATATATATAATTAACACAATATTAAGTATATTTAGATTATTAGTTCTACAATAATTTTAAATTACTATTATTTTTTTAATATATTTTGGAATATAATTTTTAATTTTTTTCGATTACAATTTTGCGAGGAAAGAAAATAAAATTGGTAAGAATAGATTGAGACTTTGAATTGCTCATCGACTTAATTAATTAGGAGAGCGAACATTAAATCCTTTCTCCAATATTACAATCCATAATATATCAAAATGCATCTATGAATTTTAATGAGATTTTGATAAATAAAATGTAATTTCAACAGAAGTTTAATGAGATTTTGATAAACAAGGAAGGGGTGGAATGACAGATATAGCTTGTACCATATGTTTCCTTGCGTATGCAAAAGCTGAGTAATATTGATCGATAATGATTGGGTTTTTTGTATTTTCGAGTATTATTTTCTCGAACGTGATGTTTCTTGCATATCCATATCCATATCCACCCTGTAATTATAATATAAAAAAAACGTTTACTAATTTTATAAGATATATTAAATATTATATATAAATAAATTAAAATATATTATCACCTCCCAAGTCTTGATTCTAACTCCATTTTGAGTGTCTTTTAAGAGGCAATTCCTCCGTAGACATTTTCAACAACATTATAATCACCGTCCTTTCCTAAGCTCCCAATGCTTCATTCAAATAAACACCACGAAATATATAAAAAATGAAAATTAATAGAATTTCTATGAATATCAAACGTGAAAACAAAAAATACATTAGGTCATTTTTACCTTATGCCATGACCGGGGCCACAAGTGATGTCCACTATATTGATATTTGAAGAGCCGTTATTAATGGCAATACAATCATCACCTACAATATTTAACAGTGAAGTTAATAATAATAAAAATAAATAAAAACATAAAATTATGAAATTAATAATCCCCGAGAATCTTAATATTAATTTAATACCTGTAGCTATAAAAGAATTTTGAATAAGAACGTTCTTTGATTGGGAAATATCAATTCCATCTGTATTTGGACTCTCATCTGGAGCACTAATGTGAATATTTGAGATAACGACATTATTGCAATCATTTATGGAAATATGGTTCTTGCCACTATTAATGTGCTTCATTTTACTAAGACGAAGCCCGTTACCGTTGTGGAAAAATAATGCCTGCACAATCATATAATATAAATTTAACCATGGGTGAAAATTATTCAACTAATTAAAAATAAAAAAGGTTAAAATTTTTTTACCGTTGGTCGGTTGCAGTGATTATGACAATCTTTGTTCCACCATGAAGAACCTTGGCCATTAAATCGACCATCTCCTTGGACAGTGAGAGAATCTATGTCGTAAAATTGGACCCATTTATCTTCACCATCACTGGGCCATTCATCCTTGCTTGGAGCCATTAGAGTTCCTCCAAGCTATCAAATCACAAAACAGTAAATAATAATCAGTGAAATGTCCAATATATTTTAAATTTCGTGGTTGAAAATGTTTAATATTGATGAATTTAGCATATTTTTTTTTAACTATTAACTAATTATTACATAGTCTCGATTCATTTTATTTTTTATTCAAACATCAAATTTAATTATATTATGAACTTTAAAAAAAACTCTTTTATGGAATTTTAATTAGGATTAATGGGATTTTAATTAGGATTAATATCAAATAACAAATAATCGTTAAATAAAAGAAAATAAGTAAAGATCATGAGACATTAGCCCTTTTGGATTAGAACTTTCGTTCCATTCTACTTAATTTGGAGAAGGAACATTAATTAATTCTTTTCTCCAACGATAACTTAATAAAAATATCAAAAATACTTATCGGAAGTTTACTAAAATTCTGATAAGCAAGGAACAATAGGAACGACAGATTTCGCTTTTCCAATAACATTTTGACAAAACACTTTAGCTTCGTCATCGGGATCCGACATTTGTATGTCCACATGGTCCAATATAATATTGGTGCATGTTAAGTTGAATCAGATTTAATATTCTCATGGTATCAGAGCCTTTGCGGTTTAACAACCCCAATCCTTTCTTTTCAATGGCTTTTGAATCTTCCACTGTTTTTCTCCACCACCGTTGCTGGCTTTGACGCTGCACGTGCAGTCGCCATGGCTGCCGCAAGCGGAGTCGATTGATTACTCTTTGGCTCCACCCTTTTGACCTCCAAATCACCTTTCGCCATACTCTGTACATACAACCTCACCTCCTCCAACACAATCAATTTTCCCTCAACCAACATAGTCTCTTTCATGTTCTTTCCAATCTTCCCTTCATCCTTCACAAAAACCTTAACCTAAACCTATTGACCTTCTCCAAAGATTTACCTTTGGAATCCGGGTGCCGCACTGGCATCTTCGCCAACCAAGTTGCCGCCGCCCTTCTCGCCAAAATTGGCTCATTTGCCCAATGTGGCGACTCTTCCGGCTTCAACATTGTCTTTGTCCCTTGCTCTAGGTTTCCCCTTCTACTTCTTGGGGTTAGACATATTCTCACCAGAGCCAAGTCAGCATCGTCGCTAAGTGACAATCCCTCTTCATGGGTTAGACATATTCTCACCGAAGCCAAGGCAGCATCGCCGCTGAGCGGCGATCTCTCTGCAGTTTTCGATGGCCAAGAAAGTGTTTCTCTACGCCTCCTCTAAACCAGGTTGTTAACATCTTCACGAAAAGTGTTTTTCAACCTCTTTAAATTTTTCAGATTCAAGCTTCACGTTCGTTTAAATCCGACGCTTAGCTTGCGGTGGGGTGTTAAGGATATTTAGTAATAAATTATAGTTTATCATATATATTATATTTGATATTTTATTATAAGGCAAATATCTAACATTTGCCTTATTACTATAGGTATCTTTCCATTTATTGTTATTTCCATTTATTACTATTTCCATATCCTTGTAATTTATTTGATTATAAATAAGATAACTTTCACACCATTTAGGTGTGGTGGATTAAGCAAACATTCACAGTGCAACTAGCTTGAGAACACTTGAAAGTAATTACGTTTTCATCTGCTGATGTTCCATTAACTCCTCGATAAGTCACATCGCTCACCTTTATGCCCATTTCCTATAAATAAGTAAACATAATTTTAAAAAAAAAATATTCACGTCAAAATAGGATGAAAAAAAAGATTTAAAAAATATAATTTAATGTACCTTATTTTCCCTTGTAGATGCAAAAGATGTGTAATATTGATCAATAATGATCGGGTTTTTTACATCCTCGAATGTTATTTGTTCAAATGTGATGTTCCTTGCATATCCATATCCGCTCTGTAATTACGTTAAAAAAAAATAATTAATTTTTTATAGTATACATAAAATTAATTAAAACTAATTATCACCTCCCACGTCTTGATTCTAACTCCATTTTGAGTTCCCTTCAAAAGGCTATCGCTCACATAGATATTTTCGACAGAGTTGAATTGCCCATCTTCTCCCAAGCTCCCAACGCTGCATTCAAATAAAACCATACAAAATTAAATAGGGAATTAATTAACCGTTCATAAGATTAGATTTTATGTAGTTTTTGTTAAAAAAAAATGATATTTTTACCTTATACCATGGCCGGGGCCACAAGTAACCCCCTTGATAGTAATGTATGAAGATCCATTGTTAATGGCAATACAGTCATCCCCTTCGATAAAGATGTATAAATATAATTATTTTTGTACAATATGCATTAAATTCATATATATAAAAGTAATAGTACCGAAGAATAATACTAATTTGTTACCCGTTAACATGAAAGAATTTTGAATAATAACATTTGTTGATCTAGAAATGTCAATTCCATCTGTATTAGGACTGTCTTCAGGAGCATTAACGTGAATATCTGAGACAGTGACATCATTGCAAAAATTTATGGAGATGTGATTCTTGGCACTGTCAATGTGTTCGGTATTCTGTAAATGAAGCCCGTTGCAATTGTGGAAAAATAATGCCTAAAAAACCATATATTATAAATATCAAATTTTAGTTATATACTCAATGTAAATTAAAACGTAAAGAAATTTTAAATTTTACCGTTGGGTGATCGCAGTGTTCTTCACAACCTTCCCACCAAAGAGAACCTTGGCCGTTTATTTTTCCTCCTCCATTGATAGTAAGTCCATCTATGTCCACAAATTGAATCCATTTATCGTTATCATTTGGCCATGCATCTTTGCTCGGAGCCATTAGAGTTCCTTTAAGCTGCAAATTCACAATACGTTCAAAAATCATATGATAAAAGAAAATGTGACAAAATTTTTTTTATAGATATATATATATATATGAGTAAGATAAATTACCTCGAAATTGACTTGTTCAGACTTGCAAGGACCTTCAAATGTGATAGGGTTCAAAAGGTAAATTTTTGCAGCAGGTACTTGCAATGTTGGAATGTCATCGGTTGCTTCACAGACATCCTTCCAAGCTTTCACAAAAGCCTTATAACAAAGAGAAAAATTAGAGTGCGAATCAATCAATTTTTCATGGAAATAAAAAATCGAGTTTAAATTACATACTTCTGTATCATCAGTTTCGCCATTTCCAGCAGCTCCATAATCGAGAACATTGAAAGAAGATGAAGCTAATACAGTCCACGAAACAGTGAAAAAGATAAAACCCGACAGAAAAATAAGCTTCATTTTTGCTAAAAATGAAGAATTTGGGAAGAAAAAAAAAGATGGAAAGAAGAAGAAGATTAAGTTCAAATGTGAAAGGATAGTGAAATGAATGGATGTGATGCATGTTTATATAGTGTTGAGATTGAAGTGGAAAATGTAAATTTTTTAATAAAAAAATATTTTTTTTTAGCATGAAAGGTTAAAAATGGAAATTATCAATTGAATAAGATTTGGATTTGGTTAAATTGTAGGCTTGGGATATGCAATCTCCCTATATAGATAAATTATCGAAATTTATTAAAATTAATTAAAATGTATTAAAATAACGCAAATTAGGGGGTGGGGGCATTTATTTTACGTCTTTATTATTATTAATATTATTATTTTTAGAATACTAATTTTTATTTTTAGAGGTTATAAATCAATTTCATACAAAAAGAAAAAAACTCATTTATTTATTTTTTAAGATAGGGACATTTTGGTCCTAGATTAACACTTGTACAAAATTCATGATTTTTTTTAATAGAAATAAAATTTGGATATAAATAGAATAATTGTAGGTGTAATAATTTATTTTAAATTATTTTTGAAGTTAATACGGATAAAACATACATTTTTTGTAAAATACATGGAGAGAATGATTTGGCAAGCGAAGAGCCGGAGGGGTAAAATTGGTAATAGTCATTTTTTTTATATAGTACTTGAAATTTTGATTTTTATATATATAAAAAAAATAACTGATTATAATTACGATTTGATTAACTTATGGGCATGAAAGAAGCAATATATATATATATATATATCAATATTTATAGCATTTTGAATTTTGGTAAAATGTATTATTATAATGCCGAAAATAAGGCCAAAAATGGAGGGGTTTTTTCTCTCAATTTGGTGATTAATTAATGAGTGGAGCAATTTTATTATTCCTATTAATTTTCTTTTTTTGTTATTGGGGTGTTTATTCTTTTATAAGAGAAGTTAATGTTTAAGTATGGACGATTAGGTGAACTAAAACAAGTAAGAAAAGTTTATGGACATAAATCCGTTAAAATAAGTAAGAAGTTAATGTTTAAGTATCAGTTTTTTTTTTTTTTTTTTGTTTGTTTGTTGTGAAGGTCATAAATCAGTTAGATACACAATTGAAACTCGTGTATATTAAATACAAAATTAAAAATTTGAGAATTGATAAGATAATTTTGAGAATTAATAAGATAATTTCTAAAGTGTATGCACTGAAAATTATGAATTAAATTTGTAATTTCTATATATCCACGTATCAAGAAAAAAATAATAATAATTTTTTAAATAAATTTAAAAAAAAAACGATAAGAAGAAAAAACTACTTATATTAATGAAAAGTCACACATTAATCTTTAATATTACTTATATTAATGAAAAGTCACACATTAATCTTTAATATTACTATGATCTTTACATTTAAATGAGTGACATGAGTTTGCATAACATTGTAGCTGTTGGCAAAGATATAGAGGTTACCCAAACCCACTAATAGCAGATATTGACCGTAGCAGATTTTGGCCCGTTATGTATCGACGTCAGTTTCACGATCTTAAAACGCATCTATTATAGTAAGACTTTCAGACACTCATAAGAAATGTTTCGTTCCCCTCTCCAATTAATGTGAAATGTTTCGTCCTCCAACCGATATGCATTCTCACAGCTAAATACATAGTATATAAAATCTATATACTATTGACGACTATTAGTATGCCACTTAATATTAAATTTTTGTATTTATTATCCTCCAATCATAATATTTACAAGCAATTTAAATGGTAGGATAGGGTATAGCATTTTTGTCTCACATAAAATGCATCAATGATAAAAATGTATTTTACTATAAACAAATATCAAAATATTTTCAATCAACTTATTGTTCAATTACAGTTTATTTATTTCCCATGGATCAAAGGGAAGTAAAAATTCAATTCAGTTCTATACAAGTCCACAACAGCTACTTCCTATAAAGACAACATCAATCAAGTCGTATAAGTTGTATGGTTTTCTTAAACACATTTGATATCGACCGACGCTTACCGATCACGTGAACTGTCGTCTCGTGTACGTGTCTTCATGAACAAATACGGGGTCTGCAGTTGTCGGTTGAGCCGGGGGCGGGGGCGGGAATTGGGGCTGCGCCATTGCAATGTTTGCTGGAGGAGGAATGGAAGGATTGCCCCACACATTAGGGTCATTCTTTGCAGAGTTCAATATGAGGTAGTAGAACAATCCCAGCGCTAAACTTGCAGCACCCACAACGGTGGCAACAGCAAAAACTCCTGGTTTGAGAACATAGCAATAGTAGTAATCGAAATAGCTGCTTTGTTCATTCCTTCCATCGTTCAGTGCAGCACCGGTTAGCAACAGGAGAAACGCTATCACAAATGTAAACCTGCAGAAAAAAAACCATGGCTCAAACTTGATTTATCCGACAAACACAAGGAATCGATCTTTCTTTTAGTCGGGGAATAATTCGACCAAAGGGATTCACGAAGAACAATAGATTCAATCATTTCAACTGTAATGATCATGGATTAAGAAGTCTAACACAACTTTCATAATGAATTAACAACGCAGAAGAGCCCAAAAAGATGACAACAAAAACATGGAATTGTTTCAAAGCAGAAATAAGATCATATAATCACAAACAATATCATAACACTCAGCCATCAAGAACCCGAGCAGAATTCGAATAACCCTGCAATCTTGAGAAAACGGGTTTTGATATCGACATTCATATAATTCATCTCATATTATAGCAGCAAGCAGCAAGCATCAAGCCATGAACTAAATGCAAGCTAGAATGAGGAAGGAAGGGTCGAAAAGTACCACGAAACAACGAAGCAGACAACGGCTGTTCTCCATTTAGAAGCGGGAGGTCGAGGACCCCTTGTGCAACAAATGCATCCCGTCGAAACATTTATCAATATCTGAGCAAGCAAAAGAGACAGAGCTGCTGTCAAACCAAGGGCAGCCGCAGGACTCTGAGGATATTTGCACATAGTAGGAGTGACTTGAACGACTTGATTACCCTGTCAAATGAAAAAATGATCAGACTGATCAGGCTAGGATCCCACACAAAATTCCAAAGAACTATGTCCTGAATTAGTAACTTCAAACAACTCAAGACCATAACGAGGATCTCTCAAAATTAAAACTCGAGGAAATTTAAATTTCAGGGACAAATTGGAAACTATGTAATTTTTTTAAACCCAAACCAAATTCTAATTATGAACCAAAATTAAAGTGAAGAAACTGTCACTCAATTTGCTTAACTTCTAAAAATAGAAAATCACAAACAAATTATTATCAATTCTCTAACTATTACTTGAATCGCTTGCATATAATTGGAAGTTTATGGCCTCAACCTCAAAAACAAAGAAGATGATCAATTCAGTAGGGCTTGGAAACAAATACAGCTTAAAGGAAGCAGCCAAAAACAACAGATCCATTCACGAACAACTTCTTTTTATAAATCGCTATTCAAAATGAATCTCCTCTCGCTATCCTTTCACATTCTTTCTGACGGATTTTCTCATCAGCCAAACAGATAATTCACCGAAGAAAAATCACTAAATCAATACGTGATTGTTAAGAAAAGGCATCTCACCTTAACTCTTGTACCCTCAGCGGCGAAGCCAGTAGCGACCAACAAAAGCCCCAAAAAAGCGACTACGGAGCACACCGCCAGAGCCTTTCTCTCCATCTCTGCCGCCGCCGATAGTTTCCGGCAAGTTACTGGGAGAAATAACCTACGTGTTTCGGTGGAGCTTCGGATTAAGGCCGAGATTTCGATACGAAGAACCTGTGGCGGAGACGGTAGAAGAAGATATTGAGAGAGAAATTGACAGGCGCTGAAATGTGACGTTGCGTCCGATGACTGAAGAAGAGGAAGTTCCTACGAAATTTGGATTCCATTAGGGGAGGATGTGGCGGTTGGAGTAAACGACGCCGTATTGCCCTTGATGCGCCGTATCCGATGGGATTGGACAATGGATAAAATGTGAAATGAAAATTGACCATTGACTTTAAAGGGCAAAAAAGGAGGACTAGGTACTTGGTTTCCCTTCTTGAATAAGTTTAAATAATATTAAATAATATTAATTTATTGTTTTTACTGTTTTTTTCTTTTAATATATATTCAATTTCATTTATTTAATTCTTTTCCATACATTCTTTATATTTTAAAATATGACCATTTTAACCCAATTTTAATACACAATAAAAATTCGATATAAATGTATGGCTACATTAAAAAAATAATAATAATAAAAAGTAAGAGTAAATTAAATATTAAGCTAAAATTAAAAAATAATGTATTGAATAAGTTTGATAATATAAGAACTAAAATGATATTAAAATCAAAGTCATATATTATTTTAAATTTTAATCTTGTTAAATTTTAAAAAAAAATTAACATTATTATCATTGAAATGAATTAATAAAATATTAATGTTCGAGACGAAAAAAAAGAGATAAATATGTAAATTATTGAATATTATTTTATATTATGATTATATTTCCTTTATGCCTTTTATTTACCATTATGGCATGATTTGGCTTCAAATGTTCTAGTGGTGGCTTCTGACTCGCGAGGGCACTATTGTAAATTTGTTGAGTTGCTTTTTTATGCAACTTTGAGATACTTTCAAATTTCTCCTAGTAAACAAAAGGTGCTCTGTCCACTTAGTATATTCTTTCGGCCCATTAAATATTTTGGGCCTTCTATTGGTCTCTTCAAGCCCGTTTCCTAACACCTCTCTCAAATTTTGTTATTCTTGGTCGGGTGGGTGGCTTGAGCAACCTGAACAAAGCTCACAATTTAACTCAAAAATAAAAAGTTAGATTGAGTTGGCGGGTTTCTTTTTTAACTATTTAAAAAATTATACATATTCATAATACATATTGTATTAATAACTAAAATTTTATAAAATTCAAATATCGAACATTTACACGTCGCCACAGATCAATAATACAATCACAAACGTTAAATATTCTTAATATTTTTAAAAGCAAGGTAGTGTTTGGTTGGGTTAGATTGGATTGTAACTTTTTTTTTTTTTTTTTTTCGGTCAGATTCACTCCACCAAAAAAAATGCCAACATACAAATCAAACACATTTTTGTGTTCTTCAATCCAAACCAACATTTTATGATTTGGATTAGATAGCCTGGTGCGATCAATTTATCAAATCATATAAACATTTTCATTTTATAACGTATGTATTTTATTTTATTGAAAAGTTATGTATATGGTGTTAGAACTAAAATGATGCATCTCCACTAACTAATAAGAAAACTTTAAATTGCAGGAATTTAGAAATTAATTCTAGGCCAACTAATTAATATTTAAAAATATTTATCATGAGATATAACATAATTACAAGAAAATTCAAAATATTGACCACCACCACTCCTTAGCCTATAATTAAAAATACATTATAATTTATCACATGTCAAACGAGTTTATTAAATAACTTTATAAATAAAAAAATACCAAATATATTTAATATTCACATTAGCTGTTTTTGATAAATGGAAAATTCAATAATTAGTTTTAACAGTAAATTATAGATAACTAAATAATGAAAGAATTAAATATTCGATACTCAAAAGTCCCAAATCTTTTCACGTGATTTTATTTTAGTATTAAAAAAAAAGATGGAAACCGTTAAATGACGGCGTTGGGGTGGTAGGTTGGGCCCTGGGGTGGGGGAAAATGCATGACTTGACCACTTTGCGGAAGGAAAGAAAAAAGAACATATAAACGGAATATGCAACAACCGTGAAGAAACGTGTACCAATAGAAAACGAAAAGAAATTCCGTACGCGAAATGAAAGTAGGTGCGGACGAACGGAGAAGGCAATTTGCGTTACGAGTGAGGAAGCTTTTGAGTTTTGTCGCCTTTTGGCTGATTTTAATACGACGCCGTACTTGGCGCACTATATAAAATGAGTTGCCGCGAACGATTAGAATCCAGAATCATAAGCAATTAATCGCTTGTTCATCCTCATCGTCGCTCTCTCCCTTTTCTCTTAGGCGTCGTTTTTCTGGTTCTTCGTTTTTTCTCTCTCTCTCTTTTTGAGCTTGAATTGTATGGCCGCTAATTCGAGGAGCGCAGGAGCGATCGCCGGCTTGAGGAAACGAATCACTGACCAGATCTGGAACAGAGATCCACTTCGCAACTCTGCGATCTCTTCCGCTGCTCCGAAGTTCAGGTTCTCCTTCTTCTTCTTCGATTTTTTTTTCTTGTGCGAATGTTCATGAAGTTATTGTGCTGTTACTTTGTTTTGTTCTGTTATTCTCTGGTAGATAGCTATATTGCATTCTTGTTGCGAAATTTTCTTTACAAAGTTGTTCCGATTGTTGTTGCATTTCTTCTTCTTCACGCTGATTGCCTTTTGAACGACTTCACACCGACGCACACTTAAGATAAACGTCTTCATGACGTAACTCATAGTCCTCTCTTCTTTCGCTCTGTTTTTTTCTTTTGATCATATACTTATTATCGGTTTCTTCTGATTCTGGTCTTGTCTTCATCACAAAAGGATTTAGGATTCTAATTGACCTTCGAGTTTCCCGCCATATTCAATACTACACCTACCTCGCCTAGAAAATTGGAAATTATGAGTTCCTTGACTTGATGCTTTTTGCCTCTCTTCCTCTTCGTTTTTTTGTTTGATTTTATGGAAGATTTTGCCAATTTTATTTTCATTCGGTGTTTGTTCATTCACGTTGTTTATTAGTCGATATTGCTTGCTGTGTGGAAGGAGACTTGGAATTAGAGAGTGCTAATTCTTATTCCTCTGAATTCTTTGTGAAACTTGGGGAAGGGGCGAACGAGTAAATCCGATTTACGAAAATTACTCCTTATTTTATTTTAGTAAATAACTAATCTATATTTTATTTTAGTAATACCTAATTTATCTTTAATATAATGAGTAACTCATTTATTATAAGAGTTATTAATTAATTTGTTCTACTTCTACCTATGTTTCAATTCTCATTTTATATTCTATTTTTGAAAAATAAAACTATAGAATTATTTTACCTTTTTACGTGTTTTCTTTGAAAACATATTTTATTTCTTAGTATTACCTTCGGAATTTAGTCAAGTTTATGTTTTAAACAATCCATGTGAAATCAAACTGAGCCATTTTACCCTTAGTAATGTTGAAATTACAAAAGGCCTCAGCGCAATAAATTTGTGGTGATAGGATTTTATAGTACTATACCTACAATATATTTAATACATTTTAGCTTTACAATTATTTTAGTTTAATTATAGTGAAAAGCAACATTAGGAAGATTTTAGCGTTTAATTAATAAAAATTAAGTGTGATTTGAAATAATATTTTATCTCAAAGTTAACATAATTTAATTTTTTCAAACCACGAATCTTCATTTTGTTTTGGCAAAATGATTCTTCAAATCTTAAACCTACCTAACACATTTTTTATTCTAACCTTTTCAAAATCATTATTTCTTTATAAGCAATTGTTAGGACTCATGGCAATTTTGCCCTAAAACTCTAATTTTCCAAAATTCCAATCGATCTATTTATTTTACTAGAACTTTGGCCAGTCAAATAATTAGATTGAGTCTGCTTTTCTATAAGTGATTTAAAATTTTTCCACTCTGAAATCATAAGTTTTCATATAATGTTGACCTAATAACTTTATAATTTTGGAAGAAAACAAAAGACTCAATAGAAATATAGATTAGGTGACTTACTAAAAGTATATTCCACATGTCCTTGACTATATCTATTATCTATTATGTACTTTAAAAGAAACATAATATATATCTTTAGAGAGAAGAAAAACTTAATAATATTGTATCAATTATTTAGTCAGTTAACTATAATTTGTTTGTTTTAGTACAGTCGAATAAAAATTGATAATATCAATTAACAAGCTACAAATAAAAAATGTAAAGATAATTAGTACGCATTTAGCGCTTTAAATCATGTAGTGCTAGTTAATAATTTTAATATCAACTAATTATAACTAGGTTAATAGTTTAATAAAAACAGTATTTTAATCAATTAAACTGTCCTGTAAAAAAATTAATGGTAATTAAAATTGAAAACTAAACTTAAAAAAAAAAAAAAAACTTGTTTTTTCGTTTGTTTAAAAATCCTTTTATTCTTTCCAAAAGTTAATTTTAATAAATGCTTCAAAATTTACTGAAATAAAAATGTGTATAGATTTTAAATGTGAATTGAAATTTTATAGGAGTTTATTTGTAAGTGTGTGGCAATATTTGGGTCCTAACTTTTGTTTTAGGACATTATAATACTGTTCTAGAATCCAATTTTAACTCAAAATTCGTATGAAAAGATGAAGTGAAGACTGGGTGTGAATATCTATAGTGCCCCCATTTTGATGCTAAAAAATCTCTAAACAAACTCCCTAACTCTAATAAACCTACAAGTACAAGAGTAATTGCTCGACAATTAAAGCCGAGCGTATGTGATATCTGATGTGACCGATGTTCAGCCACTCGATAACACATTTGGATTAACACCTTTTTTCTAAGCCCTTTTCTATTCCTGTCTGGATTCGGCTCTTTCCCGCAGTGGCTTGAATAATGGATAGGACAGAATTGGGGGCAGTTGAGGGGACAGAGTAGGGTTTGCAACTCATATAGACAACCACTAGGTGGTCTACTCCTGAGTTATTTTCTATATCCATCCCATCCTACGTGTCTTTTCAAAATACATGTCAAATTAACCACAATATTTATTTGCTTATTGATGAATACTACGCAAGGTTTTAAATTGAATATAAATGTGGGTTTCAGTTTTATGATAAACATAGAAAAAGAATCATGGTTACATTAGATATTTCCTTGTCACGTGGAACACTGTGTTCATCAAATTTGTTTCCATTCAATGGACTAGCTGGCTCTCACCTTGTTTGTCCAGTAAGATCCAATTGTTGATCACTTAATGTTTGGATTAGGAAACTATTTGAACCCTCAAATATTCTACACGTACCCCACATTAAGTTATTTTAGTAACCGCTGACATAAGGTCACATGGGATAATAATTTCTCCTATTTTTATCTTTGTTTCAAAATATTTTTTATCCCCTGAAATAAGCATAATTCCCTTTCACACTAGCATTGATTGGTAAATATCCCTTACAGAATCATCATCTCTATACTACCTTTATTGTGTTGGAGTGGGGAAGGGATGGTGTGATGTTTGTCTGGAAGTATTGACACTGATCGTTACCATTCTTGGCTTCTTTTGCAAGTTTATGATATTTATTAACGGCTAAATATGCCCTTTTCAGATATTTTTTTTTAGCATTCTATTTTTAATAATTTTACTCCCAATGTCTTCCAAAGTTTTGATGGTACTCTTATAGTGTCAGTAGTTTTCAATCAAATCTTCATTTAGTAACGTATTTTAAATTTAAGAAAATAGTATGAATATCAGGAGCTAAACAATATGTGGAAAGAAAACCTCCATGTGGAGGGAGATCGTTACTATTCTTGGCTTCTTCTGCAAGTTTCTGATATTTATTAACGGCTAATTATGCCTTTTCTAGATATTTTCTTAGTATACTATTTTTAATAATTTTACTCTTTAATGTTTTCCAAAGTTTTGATTGTATTCTTATAGTGGCAGTAGTTTCAGTCAAATCTTCATTAAATAACGTATATTAAATTAAGAAAATAGTTTAATATCAGGAGTTAAGCAATAAGTGGAAAGAAAAAACCTCCATGTGGAGGGACTGTGTCGTTCTTATCATTTCTGTTAGTTATTATTGCGTGTCAGTCCCATCGCTTTTTCTCAGTCTTATCTCAACTCAAGCGTTCCGTTGAATTCGTCTTATTCTTAAAATTAAGATGAGTTCTTCCCCAGAGGTCTGCAGTCGGTTTGGATCACATTAATTATTTATAAATTTGAATCTTTATTTTCTTTTATCATTTCTTTTTTTGTTTGCTTCGCTTTAATGTTTACAGTTTGGATCACATTAATTATTTATAAATTTGAAACTTTATTTTCTTTTATCAATTTTTTTTTGTTTGCTTCGCTTTAATGTTTACCGTTTGGATCAAATTAATTATTTATAAATTTGAATCTTTATTTTCTTTTATCAAATTTTTTTTTTGTTTGCTTCGCTTTAATGTTTACAGTTTGGATCACATTAATTATTTATAATTTTGAATCCTTATTTTCTTTTATCAAATTTTTTTATGTTTGCTTCGCTTTAATGTTAACAGTTTGGATCACATTAATTATTTATAATTTGAATCCTTATTTTCTTTTATCAAATTTTTTTATGTTTGCTTCGCTTTAATGTTTACACTAAGGAAATTTTGGTACTCTCGAACTCAACAACTTAGAAAAGAAAAACAAAGTTTACTCAATTTTGTATTTTTCCATGTCAATCTTTTGACTTTATTTAAAAACTGTTTTTCTCGTTAACTATTTATCCAATAATGTCCATTTTTGAAACCAAACACGCTATTTACTCTTGTTTGCTAATTGCTCCAAAGTCTCTTTAAACTTCATTAAAACAAATTTTATTCTAAAACTATTTTTACACTTTCCACTAGAAAATTTTCAATACTATTTTTAAATTAAAAAAAAAATAATTCAGTAATATAGTTTCCTTTTAACCTTCTATTTTTAAAATATCTTTTAACTTTTAAAAATGTTCTAAAACTATCCTTTTATGAAAGTGTTTTAAAAATGACCATAATTTTTCTAAAATTTTTTGATATTTTAAATTTTTTTTATAAAACTACTCACACCCTTCAACTCTTTAAAAAAAAAATTCAAAATTACCCGTACTTGAAAGTAAAATTAAATAGTTTGAAGATGATATATAAGATGTTGATATCCATTTCCGTTCATATATTAGCATTAAAAAAAAACTCAACTTTTTTTTAATAAAAGTAAAGAGTTTTTAATGCTATTTTTAAATTTTCGCAAGTAATTTTTGAATGTAGTACTTCATTATTTTTTAACTTTTAAAAAAGTTTAAATATTAATGAAGCTTTTTAAAGTTTAATTATATTTTTGAAATACTATTAAAGCTGAAAAATATTGTTTACGGTTTCTATCCAAAAAAATAATAATAATAATAATTTTTTTAGATCTTTTTATAAGTTTATTATTCAAACTTTTAAAAGTTTAGGGTGTATTTTTATCCTAAATTTTAATCTATTTTGAAAACATACTTCCTTAACTCCCTAATGTTCTATTTTAATTTCGCAAGGCCATTTTATTCATTTCTTATTTGTATTCAGTTATCGTAAATTTAGTCTACTACTCTAGAAAAATTAGCCATATCAAAAAATTTAGGGAAAAATAAAAATCTAATGTACGAAGTAGAGTTCAAATTAAAGTTTTAACCTTAAACTATACCAAAAAACGTAAATATGGTTTTATATTTGGTGGAATGGAGCATTAATAGGATGAGACACAAACCTGAAACAGGAGGGCAGCTCACAGTTCAACGTATGACAAGAACCACGACGAGCAAGTCCGACCAAGCATAGTCCCTGATGATGTGATTCAGCCTCAATCTGCTGATAAGTATTGGGCTCCTAATCCACAAACCGGCGTTTTCGGGCCGGCCACCATCAACCCTGTGGCAGCGGTGGCCAACCATACTGCAAATGGTGGCAACTACTCTATTGTGGAGGAGGAAAAGGCTTGGTTCCGACCTACCAGTCTTGAGGATTCCGAGAAGCCCCACGGTTTCTAGGAGCCTGGGGCTTCCCGAGCCATTGTGGTACTTTTGCCCATCAGACATTTTAGACAACAAGTAGTTAGTTGTTACTAAATAAAGAAGATGGCTGTTTTAGCGGTAGTAAGCATCTGGAGTTGCTCAAGGCTGAGGCAATCTGGCTCAGGATGCTTTTACGGTGTTGTACCAACTTTATTACGGTGTTGGATGTGGTCTACTTCTCGTTTGACTACGCAAAATAGTGTGGTTTTATAGCTTTATCTCTCCATCCAACAAAAGGTTTACCTCTCTACTCACTACTGTTTTTTTTTTTAAATATTTTTCTAAATATTATCTTACACGACTTTATATTTTTATTTTACAAGCTCCTGAGAAATATATTATTCTGTTAAAAAGAAAATCATTTTCACTAAACTATATAAAATGAAGTGATAATTGTAACTAAACAGCTATTGAAATATATATAAGCAAAAATGAGATCTCCGCAAAAAATGTCAATTTTACACTTCTTATCAAATTGTTCCAAAAAAAAACGCCCCAAGTTCCTAAAAGCTGTTTGTGCTAAATTTTAAAGTTTAATAATAATATCTAGAAGATACGTACTAAATTATTATAAAACAAGCTATCTTTTGAAAACAAAATAGTCGTGGAAGGGATTTTTAAACTAGTACCAGAATCTAAATCTTTGGATTTCAGTCAAGTTGAAATTCTGCCGGTATGTGAAAATAATAATAATAATAACTATCCTCAATTAAATATCCGAGGCAAATGGTTTTATTTTATTTTATTTCTTGTTATTTTGGTTCATTATTTGAAAAAGGGTAAGGTTTTCGTTTTGACATAGCAAAGTAATGCAAAAGTCAAATAACATGCATCAATATCATGCATTGGTCATGTAATGAAATAGCACACGAATGAAAACTGATAGATTCTTATTGAGATAATAATCAATTTTGGTACCTTTCATATTATGCAACCAGCCGCCCAATAAAGCATGTGGACCATACAGATTGTTGATTGTTGGTGGCACATTAATTGCTCTCCACTTCAACATCAGATCTCAACTGCTTACCTGACTGATACTAATTCAATTGATGTAAACTTGATCATAAAGTTTTTTCAATATATATAATTATAAAGTTTTCGTTCCCTGTTTTTACCGACGGCGCCTGCTTTAATACTTCTGCTACAGTGCGAAGGCTTTCGAATGACATCATACAATGTATATTTCAAAGTAACCAATCATAGTACATTATACAAACATGCTAACATTAACCAATTAATGTTACATAATCCACTTCCTAAAGAAGTACCCCGATCTTAGATGGGATTTCTAAGCAATTGAATTTCATACAAGTTCGGATATGTTTAGCTAAAAAAAAAAAAAAACTTTGTTTATTCTTCCTTCATTTTGCCTATTTTTCTTCTTTGCAGAGGCCTTGTTCTATTATTATTTTTTTCCGTTAAAAAAATACAGGGATAAAAGGAAGTATTATAATTTTCACTTCATACAAAAAACTAAGGAATAAACAAACTACTACTCAATTGTTATCAGCAGCATCCAATTTTCGCCCCGGTTTTAAGGATAAGATTCTCATCCCCAAATAACATATAGAATAATAAAAGAATTTGTGCTATGATTATCATAATGGTTACAACTTACAAGATAGACGTCGTTGCATCTCCAAGGTTATTGCCAGAAACTGTTTCTGCCCCTAGTTCCCCAGGGTCCATTTGAAGGTTGGCCTGTCATTGATGTCGTTATAAACTGTTAGACATATAATAGATCCTCCTTGACGAGAATGTCCAGATGTTCACAGCAACTCTAAGGCAATAGGGTCAGTTTGTACCTGGCATTATGATCTACTTTCTTGGTGTAGATCAATTCCTCGATCAAGATTTTAGATGGCTGCTAAAGAAACGTAAAATCAATTTTTTACGACTGTTTTTCAATGAACAAGATCCAAACATTCAATTGCTGTCTTTTCATATATTTTTTTTCTAGGAAAAAAACAATGAAATGTGGCCTTAGATATAAGAAAATAGTTTCTTTTTAATCAACGAGTAATTGATCAAAAGGCTGGTAGAGGAGATGCAATATAAACTCCTAGGGTTTTCAATTGGTTGTTACTGAATGATCTATGTAGTAGAATATAGTTTCTATCATATGCAAAACAAAGGCATCAATACATGTACAAGATTTACTTCCACTTTTGGTCGTTTTCTCAGATGCATGAAACTTAATTCATCAGACCATCGGTCTTGTACCTAAGATCATTTACCATTTTGATTACACCATCCCTCCCCATACCAATTAAGATATAATGCAATATTTTTCAAGAGGAGTCCTTCTGTCAGACGCATAATGCGTCAAATATAAAATTTTCAAATTATGACTGGACTTGCTAAATTTACCATCGCCTAGAGGCAAAGTGGTGAAGAACTATACCACAATCATGCAAGGACTGCTCTGGCTTAGGAACTATGAAATACAAGTACAAAAAGGGTGAACTTACAATGCCTCTGTTCAAGAACCACTGTTACGGACTTCAACATCTCTCTGGCCTTCCTATCTGGCGTGCAACCAGCACGTTCCATTTCTTTATATATTTCAGGGACCTAGCCAGATATGGTTAGGACTTAGAAGGTATCAAAAAAATTTCATACTGAACGATCTCATGCAGCCAAAACATAGACAATAAATGAAGAACTTCATCTAAAAAATTTAGAAAACTCATCGGAACAAAAATTAATGTGGCCAGAGGATAAGAAAGCACCTTATGAAACTTCTTTGCACGAATATACGCCTTCATAAGGGTGGTGTAGGTTATAACATCAGGACTGATACCCTTCTCAGAAAAATATGACAAAGTAATAAGGATGAATAATAGGATTATCTTGATAATACAAAAAAGGAAGAAATTTGATTGCATGCGACTTTAACTATGTTTCTGGTCTGGCTTTGCATTACCGAACATGAAGACTTACAACTTCAACTATATGATGATAAATGGCCATCGCCTCCAAATGTCTGCCAGCAACAGCAAACGCATTGATCAGTACATTCAGCATTACAAGATTTGGTTCGATTCCTTCTGCCTCCATTAGCTGAAGCACTTTTACTGTCTCTTCACACAACCCCTACATTGAATTACCAACATACAAGAAAATTGTCTCACAATAACTTAGTAATCACGACCAACAATATTTCTTTGTTCATAGAAAACATCCAGCATCTCTGTGCAGAGAGAACAACGAACTAACAACAAACCAAGGCCATAAAAATTCAGTTAACTTTTGCAGCAAGAGAACTTACATAACACAAAAAGAAAAATTAGTAAAGATGGGCATCAAACCTGTCGAGCAAAAGCATTTGCTATAATGCAAAAATTGCTAGCGGATGGTAGAAGACCTGCAGACTTGAGAGCAGATATACATTTCTCAGCATCCCGAAATTGACCATACTGCCCATAAATATCAACTAAAATTTCATAAACTAGGCCACTATTCTTATGCCCTCTGAGCTTCATACTATCAAGATTCTTCTTTATAATATCCCACTTTCCCTGCTCACCCAACGAGCTAATTAGAGTAATGAAAATCTTAGGATCTGGATGCATCCCCTGTTCTTGCATGTCAGTGAATAACTCCAGGGCAGTAGCAAGGTTCCCAGATTTACAGTTCCATTGTATCAGCGAATTCCAGGTCGTTATATCAGGCATTACACCATCCTGCTGCATTTTTTTGAACACTTCTAAGGCCTCGGGTAATTGACCATATTTCCCAAATGTATCTATGATACTGTTGTAAATGTGTTTGTCCACAGAAATCCCTGATTTTCTTATCTCATCAACGATCCCCACTGCTTTCTTCCACATGCCATTGTTCTGATATATTACAATAACCTTACTATACACAAATGAGTTCAGCTCAAAACCTTTTCGTTTCATCTCATTAATAATAGACCAAGTATCTTCCAGCCGTCCAGCATTGGCATGATAATCCAAGAGAATTTCATACGTTTCTTGATTTTTTTGAATATCTAAATCACTCATTAACACAAGAACATCAGATGCAAGATCTAAAAGGCCTTTTCTCAAGAACCCTCTTAGTAGTGCATTGCAGACCGTTGTTCTTGGCATACGACCAAAACTAATCATTTCTTGAAATAAGATATCAGCTTCCAAAGTCCTGCCTACATTTCCATGAGCTTCAATCAAATATGTGTAAGATGCTACAGAGGCATGGAGACCTACAGCCTCCATATGAGAAAGAAGAGACATGGCAGCATCAACATTCCCTACCTTACAATAGTCACGAATCAAACAGTTGCACAAATCACCAGATAGTTCCTCTTGATCTTTACATCCATGCCACCTAGCGCTAATAGTATAATTATCATATAATGCTGCTTTACTGACCTTTTTTAGGCCATTCTTCCTAAACAACTTTAATACGGCATCGCCAAACATATACCTTCCATCACATTTACTAGAACTTCGATGCAACAAAGTGCCAGAATATACTCCACCAAATGAGTATACGATGAATGTTTTTGGCAAGAAAATAGATTGCATATTTATGCTGCAAACAAAAAAGATGAAGATGTAAATGACAGAACATGGCCAGAAGTTACAATCCAAATGGAACATCAAGCACTACAATTGTAGTTTTGTAGCACTCATTAATATGATGTATATTGCATTGACATATGCATAGACATATTGAAGCTGATTAAAGCGACTAATAGCTTCTTGTACTTCTAGAAATATTGTAACAAATATCTAAATCACTGTAACACATACATCTCAGTCCCGCAACAAAAGTACGGCAGCTAAGCAAATTAAATACCAATTCTTCCGTCAGTCAGTCTAATGATAAGTGTCAGATAACTGATCTATAAAAACCGTTTCAACTGTCATATATAAAGATGAATAGCAGTCCGTTTACATCTGAAAATGAATTTCTGAAAGTATTGACTGGATGACTGAGGAAAACAAAGTACACTGTAATTTATTTCTTAAAAAGCATAGAATTCAAACAAAATAATAATAATAACAAAAGAGACTGCATGAAAAATGTGCATAGATTGAGCAAGATTTGTCTGAAAAAATCCAGAAATAAAGCCGTCTGTCAGAATAACATCCCTCTCTTAGCTCATTAGCCATACAATTTCGGAGTAATGCTAATTTGATCTCGGTCTCCTCCAAGCACCATGAGCAAGTCGCACATGATGATTCGTGAATCAAATAATTTAGAAACTAAACAGAAAATCTGTTTGAACTAATTCTATTTAGAATTGTAAAAGGCAAAGTTTCTTACAAAAGAGTTACGGAGAAAAGATATAGAAAGATATAGTTACTTGTAAAAAAAAATTATTCGGAAAAATTAGGTCATTGAGCAGAGAAATATACTTATTCGATTGAGCAGACTCGATAATATCAGAAGAATGAAGAAATATAACGTTTCTGTTCATCAAGAAAATAATTCAGAAAGATTAAGACGAGTGTTTGAGAAAGAAACATACTCATACCAATCAGCATATTCGATAGAGTCGGAACAGAGAGAATTCAGAAAGATAGAGTTTCTCGTTACAAAAAAACATACTCATGATATCTTTCTCCCACACCAGCAGCAGAACGTTGCTCGCAAACTCGGAGAGGTCCAATTGAGCAGGATTCGGAAAGATGAAGTGAGTGAGCAGAGAAACCTACTAAGTCAAATCAGCAAACTCGATAGTTTGTAGCGCCTTCATCTGATAAGAATCCGAACTTAGTGAACATTGTCCTAGAAAATGCAAATCAAATGTTGCAAGTGAATATCAGAAACCGAATCCTGAATTTAGAGTACAGGATGAGCAGAAGTTTCGTATTGATTTGATTAATTTAGAAATGAAAATGAAGCTCTACTTTATTGATATTCCTCACATATAATTCCGAAAACATTGCAATGAGAGAGAGAGAGAGAGAGAGCTTACAGAAATGGTTGACGTACGCTGCCGTAACCTCGGACTTGAAAGAAGAACAGCTAGATGAAGAAAATTCCACAGGATGACGATTTGATTTTCTTAAAAATGAAGACGAAGCTTCATTTTCTTGTTATTCCTTCACAATTGATACCAAATGATTGCAACAGCAGAGAGAGCGCACAAAAAGTTACGGAAACGGTTTATGCACTGTAACCTGGCCGTGCGAAGACGAAGAACTACAAGGAGAATAAATAACCGGAAAATGATTTGATTTACATAACAATGAAAGTGAAGCTCTACTTGCTTCTTCACACAGGATTCCATAAACTTTGCGACATCAGAGAGAGAAAGAGAGTTTACAGAGTAGCCGATACGATTGAAGTACGCCGCTAAGCCTGGAAGTAGGAAGACAAAAGCTATCAGAGGACGATTCCGCCGTCCGCCGTCCGCCGTCCGCGGTTCGCCGTCAGGTAATTTACCTGCCGCTGCTTCGTTCGATAACTTTCTCAAGTCTCCGCGCCAATTTCCAATCTTCAATTTTATCTCCCTCTAAAACCTATATATACTCCTTATCCCTCTCAGATGACAAATTTTCGTTTGTTTTTTTTTTCTTTTTCAAAATTCATATAATTTCCCTTTGCGCTTTTACTTATTATTATTATTATTGAGAATGATAATAATAATATAAATAAATACTGCAATCTTAACTTAAACTTTAGAAGCGTTAAATAGAGTTTAAAGAACAAAAATATATATATATATATATTGTTAAAACTTTTAGATTTTGAAAAAAAAAATTCAATAATTAATTTGTGTATTTTTATATATAAAATTTTATTTTATTAAAATTAATGAATTTACAAAGATTTGGCAATAAAATGAACATTATGGACATTGCATCTTTAAATTAAATTTAGGGTCCAATTTAATGAAATTATAGCATAGGATCAAAAAAATCAAAATTTAAAAATATGATGTTTTTAGCATTACATGGATATTATTTGTAAAATTAATTCCCTCTCACAAATGTGGAGTCCTTTTGAATTATCTTCTAATCAAATACTCTAGAAAAAATAATTTAATAATAAACTTAATTCAAAATTTTAACTAGTTTAAAATTAATTTTAATTCGAAGTATAATTAATTTTATTTAAAAAATAGTTTATAAAAGTAAATCAAATACGCTATACTTTTTGAGTTAATTCCATTTCTACCGCTGAGGTTTCGACCCAGTGCCCAATGATGCAAGAATTTGAGTTCAACCATAAAAAAGGCAATGCAAAGACTGCAAAGCTATTTTGGATGCAATAAACCACAACGAAGTAACAATACTACAAGAACAAAACCAAGGTAAATAACCGTTGAATCCATGAACTCAGAACTTTCATCTACCAAATTAAGTCCAGAAGATATGTCAAGCTCAAAATGTTGTAAAAATAAATACCAAAAATTAGGAAAATAGAACGACCTCTGCGCAGTTGTTCTAGCAATCTACTTCTTCTCTTCCTTCTCGGCCTCTGCTGCTCTCTTCAATCTAGCACCAACATGTCGTTCATTTGTCCTCTCTATACGTAGCTTGTCGTATGCCTTGAATGATTTCATCTCCTCAGTGACCTTCACAAGCTCAACTGGAGCCTTCTCACGTCCAATAGGCAGGTATGGTCCTTGGACTTGAGTGGCATTTGCGAGCTCCTCCGGAGTTGAATCACCAGCCTAAATCATTCATAGCCAAAATGTTGAGATCAAGTACATAACAAGTAGTCGATAACAATCAACTTGAGTTGTATGATTCTAGACAAACTGACCTTGAATTTGCGAGCACGTCTTGGGAAGACAACCACCTTCGCCTTGTATGTCTTCAGCCTCTGCACGTTAGCCTGTAGACTTTCGAGAGAGCGATTTCTTCGGCGATGGTCAACTGATATTCCAATTGTAGGTGCTAGCTTCTTGGGAATACCAGCAGCCTAAGGGGCCAATACTAGATAGTTAAGATGCCATATAAATGATCGTGAACTAAAGATAGTAAAGATAATAAATCCTTCCCAGTGACCATAACAGAATGTACATGCATAAAATATACAGCTATGTAGAAGATCCAGTTCTAAGAGCATGCAGCCTGAAAGCCAAGCTGAAAAACATTTGATCCAAGTGATCTTACTACAAAACCCCACCGCCAAGACATTAAAAGGGCCGGAAAGGTCAGGCAAATAGAAACTAGAAATGGGGGGACTGGATACCTTCAATTCCTCGAGAGAGAAGCCCCTCCCAGCCCTCACTTTCATGTTGTACTTCAATGTCTGCCCGTGAACAATGGGACGGAGTGGTCCAGCAGTTGGCCGGGGGAAGTTCTTCACAGCTTTCTCTTGACGAGCTGATTGTAGATTCATCAAACACTAGTTAGAGGAGTTCCATATCTACGGCAAATTTAATGATATGGTGATGCACAGACACCAGCTGAAGCACAGGAAAATAACATACAAAACAAAAAAATACCACTAACCATTTCTTCTTCTGGTTTTCCGGGCAGGTTGGTTGAACCAGGTCCTGACATAGTTTTGCCAGTGCTTCCTAAAGTGACCGCTAGGGATAACATTGTTGTGCTTCATTTTTTACCTCTATCAAACCAGAAGTAAAAAGCCTCAATTAGAAGGAAACAAGGACAAGAGCAAGAACCCTAAGCAATTCCAATCCACCAACTATTTTGGCTCAAAAATCGAAAAGAAAAATATACCATATCACGAGATCAATTAAAATATTTTTTGTGCAAGATTTTTTTTCTTCAAGAAAACAGAACCAAAAATGGAGACCAGTTTGGAATATATATGCAGATCAGGTATATAATCCCATGATAAACCCTAATAAAAAACATTTACTTCAGACGACATTTATAAGGCCACAGCAACTGAGTATTCTTAATCAATTAATGCAAATGTTACGCGGCAGATTCCTGTAAAAGATCTCGACACACAAACCAGCCGCTTGTATACAAGATATCGGAAAACAAAGACAATCACATATAGAGCAAAACTTCGTATACGAATGACAATGCTAAGCGTTCCTAAAATGATACTCAAATCAAATAATGAAGTCGGAGGAAGAGAATCGAGATGAACTTACTTCGAAGGAGAAATTAGTACAATAGAATTATCTTTTACAATATTCACACGGATTTCAAATTGCAACCAAAATACAAAGATGAGAAGTCATTCGTATAGCCACATGCAATGAGATACGGAAGAGGAGAACCCAATCAAGAGATGAGGAGAAGACAAAGGCGGCAAACACTTACAACGCGGCGGAGCAGAGTGACCTTTCTCTTTCGACTTCCAGCCACTGAAACCTTGTTAGCGGGAGCCCTAATATATTTGTAGAAACCCTAGGTTGTTAATCTCTAACTTGGGCTGACTCAATATTCATGTCTAATTGGGCTGGGCTGATGGTATTTCTAATATAGTGGATAAGGCTTTTAAAATTTTGGTTAAAAAAACATTTTTCGTCGGAAATATTATAAGTAATTTCTAACAATTTAGTTTTCGTAACTAAAAATTAATAATAAAAAAATTATAATAATGATCGACGTATTGATTTAAGACCTTGAAATATTATGATATTATACATTCAACGATGAAACTTAAATTGACTTTATTTTCTACCATATAAACTAAATTATTAAATTATTACATATTACTGACTAAATTGCTACAACTTGCTGCTATGAACATGTTGGATCAAATATATTCTGTAACAATCCAAGTTTACCGCTAGTAAATATTATTCGTTTTGGTCTGTTACGTATCACCATCGGCCTCACGATTTTAAAACGTGTATTTTAGAGAGAGGTTTCAACACTTTGTTCCCTCTCCAACCGATGTAAGATTTCACAATCCATTTGTAAGCAGTCCAAACCTACGGGTAATAGATATTGTTCATTTTTGTCAGTTACTTATCGTCGTTAACCTCACAATTTTAAAACACTTATTTTAAGGAGAGGTGTCCACACTCTCCGATCGATATAGGATCTCACACGTATGATTATTTCATCAATAATCAACTATATAAATAATCGATTATTTTACTTACATTTAAATTAAACAAAAATGATGGCGGTCAAAATAAGCACAATTCAATAAACAAACATTTGTTCGTAAGTGTTCAAATTTGCGTAATTTGTCTTGTACTAAAAATAATAATAATTAAAAATATCAATCAATTTTCTTACTTACATTTAAATATAAATAATATTTTCAATAATTATTTATTTAACTATCGTAGTTTTGATTCATTAATTTTTTTCGCTTGTATTTTATAATCGTTAGGTCAACAAAAAGGATTGCGCAATTTCCAGAGTAACAAAATATTGTCTCAATTAACAAGAACAAATGGATTGTTCGAACTTGTAAATGCACAATATTATATAACCCAGAAGAGGAGGGTTTTTTTTTTTTTTTTTTTTTTTTT